GGACGCCATGCCAGACAAGAAAGCTGATATTTTTAACAGTTTCTTTGCCTCTGTTTTCTTGAACACGGACCAGGACATCCCACCTACCAGAGGTAGGGACAATCTCGGGGATAGCTCTGTCAGGCCTTCAGTCAGCACCAAAGTAGTTAGGTATCTTCTGGAAGGGCTATACATTTTTAAATATGCAGGTCCAGATGCCCTCCACCTAAGGGTGTTGAGGGAGCTGGCAGGGGTCATCGTGGAGCCCTTGGCCTGGCTTTATGAGCATTCGTGGTCATCTGGCCAGGTGCCGGGGGATTGGAAACTGGCTAATGTAGTCCCAATTTTCAAGAAAGGGAGGAGGAAGGACCCAGGTAACTATAGGCCTGTAAGCCTCACCTTGGTTCTCGGGAAGATCTTGGAGGGAATCATCAAGGAGCACATCTGTGGGGGGCCAGCAGGGGATATCGCGCTCAGGGACAACAGCATAGGTTCATCAAAGGCAGGTCCTGCTTGACCAACCTGATGGCCTTTTATGACCACGTGACTAAATCCTTGGATGATGGTGTCGCTGTGGACATAGTCTTTCTAGACTTTAAAAAGGCCTTTGACACTGTCTCTCATCAATAAATTAAGCGACTGTGGCACTGATGCCTACACAGTTGGATGGGTAAAAAATTGGCTGATGGGGCACACCCAGAGAGTAGTGGTGGATGGGTTGTACTCAACCTGGTGAGATGTGAGCAGTGGGGTCCCCCAGGGCTTGGGTCTGCACTGTTTAACATTTTCATTGGTGACTTGGACAAGGGGGTGGAAAGCACGCTGTTCAAGTTTGTCGATGACACTAAGATGTGGGGCGAGGTGGACACACTTGAAGGGAGAGAGAGGCTGCAACTAGATTTAGACAGACTACAAAAGTGGGCAGATTAGAATAGGATGGTGTTCAATGTAGACAAACGCAGGGTGCTGCACTTTGGGAGAAGGAATCCACAGCATACATACAGGCTGGGGAGCTCCCCTCTTGAAAGCACAGAGGCGGAAAGGGATCTTGGAGTCATTACTGACTCCAAGATGAACATGAGCTGCCAATGCCAGACCACAGTCAGCAAGGCCAGCTATACCTTGTCATGCATCCAAAGATGCATCTCAAGCAGGTCCAGAGAGGTGATACTCCCCCTCTATGCGACTTTGGTAAGGCCGCAGTTGGAGTACTGTGTCCAGTACTGGGCGACGCACTTCAAAAGGGATGTGGCTAGCCTGGAGAGGGTTCAGAGGAGAGCCACCCACTTGGTGAGAGGGCAGCAGGACAGGCCCTATGAGAAGAGACTGAGGAACCTGAACCTGTTCAGCCTCAGCAAGAGGAGGCTGAGGGGGGACCTGGTGGCTGCCTACAAACTCATCAGGGGAGATCAACAGCAAATAGGTAGAGCCCTTTTCTCCCCAGCACCACCTGGGGGGACAAGGAACAACAGTAATAAGCTGATGGAAAATAGGTTTAGGTTAGAGATCAGAAGGCAATATTTTACAGTTAGGGTGGCCAAAATCTGGAACCAACTTCCCAGGGAAGTGGTCCTCGCCCCTACCTTGGGCAAATTCAGCAGGACGTTGGATGATCACCTGTCTGGGGTCTTGTGAACCCAGCATTCATTCCTGCCTGTGGCAGGGGGTCAGACTAGATGATCTGTTCAGGTCCCTCCTGACCCTAGCTACTATGAAACTATATGGCAAACTGCATGGAGCCATGGATTTGTGGAACCCATGCTAGAAAAGCTTTCTATTTGTTATGCTGTACTCAGGCATAAGACCTTCAGAAAATGGGCTTCATTTTTTTCCACTAGGCAAGCATTTTGCTCATGAAAGCCATGACAGTAAAACAAGAAAACTTCACAGCCACTATATTTTCCTTTTGGTAAGTGCTTTGAAAGTAATAATTGAGGAGGAAGTAGCAGTCTCAGAAACATTTTTTTAAATACAATTTAGTAATGCAAAGAGTGCCGACAGCTGCACAAGAAGATTCACCTAGACAGGTTACCATGGTTTTTCGCTATCTCATTAAGTAACTGGAAAATCTACAAAACTTGCAAATTAGACTCAGGTGGACACAACTCTCCCCCTCATAGATGCATTATATTATCCTGGGGTCTGGCTCTGGGACTGGATGCGTCACAGATGTGAGTTCTGCAGCAAACATGTGAATGTCAAGTATGCCAAATCAGTTCTTAAGCAAGCATAGTGCACCAAATTACAGCCAGAAATAAATGTGTATAAACCCTGCTGACTTTAAATGGAACCCTGTTGGGTTTGCTTGCAGAAGACCTATGTCTGCACCAAAATATTTACAAGAAAACTACCCTGTTACATTTGGCTTTGAAGGTTTTCATTGACAGAAGGCAAATTTGCTTCATGTCATTATTTTCACAAGAAAAGGCCTTAAGTCTATTTCAGTGATTCTGTATCATTTTGAAACATTCCATTCTCTGTGTTCATAAGCAGACAGACCAAATTCAACACCCAGGGGTTCAAAAGATCACTCTGAAAAATCCTTCTTACTGACTCTTATCCCATCTCGAGTAGTCTTCTCACCAAAAGACTAAGGCTATGGGGAGAAACCAAACAAAAACTGTGTACCAGAATGAATGCACACCAAAAATCTATCAAAGACAGAAGAGTTTTGAGATGGAAGAGACTTCCTATGCCTGAAGAAGGGTGACTGTGCCCAGAAGCTTGCCAAGAACTTTTTTCCAGCTACTCAGCTGGTCTAATAAAATATATCACATCTACTCAAAGAACCTTGCCTGGTTTTTGCCAGGCCTCTGACAGTGGTAGTAATACATTGGGTGCTGGCATCAGCAGTGCCACCACTGCTGGAATACCCAGACCTCTGGAAACTGCAGCAGAGCTACCAGGCTTCTACCAGGGCTCCCTGACAGCTCACTGGTTACTCTCCCTCTCCCCCCACCATTCAGAACAGTTGCTGTCTTCTTTGATCTTGTCTTTAAAATGCTGTACTCCAAATAGAAACTGCTAAAAAAAACCCCCTCCTATATGTATGTTTTTGTAGGTATATCCCCTACATAAAATTATTTAAATTAATGTCGAACTAATTATTGAATACCATGAAGAGATGTTAAGGTTATAAAGACATCAATAGAATGTGGGAAGAAACTTAAAAACTAAAATAGAAATTTAATAATTTATATAATTAAACAATCCTTTTTCCACATTTATTTGGAGATTTCATGGCCAGGTACAAAAATATAATTAGGTACCAAACATGCAACTTGGGCAAAATGTAGGTACCTAACCTAAAAGAGCATTCACAAAACTGATCAGAACTGCTGAAGCACTCAAGAGGCCACATGCGTTTGGGAGCAGACTTACTTTATTTGTCTATTTTGGGCTCTCAGCTAACATGAGGCACACATCTAAACACTCACAGACAGACCTGAAGATCAGCACAGAAGGAAGACATGAAGATACTGATGGGACTGCCTTTTAAATCTCCTTGTGGTTAGAGCACTTGTACAGAAAGTGGAAGACCAATATCATAGGCTCTTCTCTGCCTGAGGGAGTTCAAGTACAAATCTACCACCTCTTAGGAGCGTGCCATCACTGTGCTAGAGGCTAAAGTGAAACAGGACACAAACTACTGCTGAAGTTGGGTGTAGAAAGGAATGCAAGAAATGGAACAAGGGAGAGTAAGCAACAGGGAACATGATACTGTGCATCTAGTAATGAGGGCACTCTCTTGGTGGTACAGATGAGAGGGGGGTCCTGGTTCTGATCCTGGAGACCAACAACATTCATGTATTTTATACAGTAATGTTTTAATGCACAATGCATAAGCAGTATCAGGAACAGGGGCTGGAAGCCAAGAAATGTCCTCTCTTCAGTATTTCCTAGTGGTTGGCTTTGGACAGTTTCTCTCAACCAGGGTGCCATGGGGTGAATGCTCAATATTAGCGCTGTTAAGTATGCAAATACCTACATGTGATTCATAAGATAAACCCAGAGATTTCAAATAGAACTTCCTAGTTTCAAAAGCATTCTGCCCAGTTTTGGTCTTTCTGAATCCTTTACAATAGAACAATTGCTCTATTATTTTTCTCTAGTCAAAAAAAATAAGTTAAAGCTAAGAGCTGACATTTTCCAAGACTTAAATCTAACAGGAGAGCCCTAAATCTAAAATGGATGAGAACCACTAACTCAAGCATCACCCGCAGTCAGTTTACTGAATGTTGTAAAACCCATTTTTATACTCACTTGGCTCTACCCATTCACTAATTGGATTCAGACATTTTGCTCCTGGAGCCAAGTGCCTAAATTGTGGGGTGATGCTCAGTTCCTTAGCATCATGGCTAAGTTCCTTCGTGGATTTGTTAGAAACTCCTCAATTCAGGATTCTTTGTTTACCTTGCAATGGCAGGTATGCAAGTAAGCCCTGAACAAAGATTTAAAATACTGATCTTTATGTCTTGGATCTTAATAGCTTTCTGCTTTATGTTTTAAAGATTTTAGCAGAATATTAAATTATAATGAAAATGATCAATTTAAAAATACTGTAATAAAAATTCATCACCCCACCCTAGATGTTTCACATTTTCTGGATATATGAAATTAAATCAGGTTTGAAAAATGAAACAAGAATGAACCAGTTAAGCATCAAACCATGAAAACTTGAACTATATTTGGAAAAAAAAAAAGTTTGACAAAATTATATGAAAATCCTAAGGAACAAAGTTCAGAGGGGAAGTGTGATTCAATTACAAAAATCAATATCATTCTATCCAGTCTTTCCTGTTATTCATTGATAAAAAATACTCTAAAGAAATACACTTCATTGATCTGGTAATAAGGTTAGCATGTACAAAACTGAAATTCAAATAATTCCATGCTATGCTTCTGTTGTAGACTCTCAAACACTAATCTTCCTAGTCTCAAAGAAACAATAGATCCCCTGTAAACAAGAGTATCTTCAAAAGTATTTGGAGCTTTCAAACCCTAAATAAAAAGTGTATTACCTCATTGCTTTTACTTATTCGTCTAGCCACAATAAGCTGAATCATTCCTCGTTTGTTTCCTTCTGTAGACATGGACCTTCTTAGGGTTTCCATAGCATCCTGGTTTGTCTTACCCAATAAGGATTCTCCATTTACTGCTATTAACTGATCGTTCACTCGAAGCCTGCCATCCTGCCAAGGGAAAATGCAACAGTTGCATAGAAAAAAAAAAGAAAAGAAAAAAGAAGTTTAAGTCTTTAGCACAAAAGATAAATAAAATAAAACCTATTCTTAATCCTGATAGTTTACAGCTAAGTGAAAACTGGAATAACAGATTTTAAACAGCCACTGTAGGAAGTGCCTATTCCAATAATTTATACATTTGCACTTCAAGCTATCATCATAATAGACACAAACAGCATACTCATTTAAATGCATTTCTTCTTTCTTGAGAATCTTTAAAGCTTATTTCATTCCTCTGATGCACTAATCTGGGTGCATCTACATGTGTGCTTTACTGTGGAGTAGACTAATTAGCTCTGCAGCAAAACGTGACCATCTACATGTGCACTGGTGTTATGGTGAAGTAAACTAATTAACTCTGCCATAAGATAAGCACTGCTGGGGACAGTACTATCTAACAGTGGAATCATTTACTGTGCCGAAACACACGTGTGGACAGTGACCAGGAAAAGGCCAGATTCCTGGCTGCTACCAAGCCACAGAGCTCTGCACATCTGGCACCCTCATATGCCAGCCACTTCCTCCACTGCCAACAGCACCACCTGGAGCCCAGAGCTGACCCTCGGAACCTGCTGCCACCCTCGGCCAGCTCCGCCCCAGCTCAAAGTGCTGCTGTCCTGGGTGCATGTGCAGATGCTGCACCCAGAAATAGTGTACTCCAGCTCAAGCAGCTCTGGAGTTTACTGATTCGTATTAATTGCTCATGTAGATGCACTCCCTGAGTATAAATCTACAGCCTCATTTGACAGTGAAATTAAGAAGCGCCAGTTTAGCTAAACACATAAAAATCCTATTTTCTTGGAAGCTGGGGATGTCCTCATAATAGCCAAAGCTGTGGTACTTTTAACAGGCAAGAAAAGGCAGATGGTGACTCCTCTTACCTTAGAAGCTGCTCCTCCATTAATGATAGACTTCACAAAGATTCCTAGGTCTGCATGGTTTTCTTTTGACCGGTTACCTTTGACACTGACACCAAGTCCAGCTGAACCAGAATCATTAAGTGGAACTTCAAATGTCAGGAATTCCCTGGTGCCATCAGGTGTAAGAACAAGATCTTCTTCTTCTGCTTTCTGTCAGGAAGGGATTAATACAGCATTAGAGAAAACTGCTTTCTTACTTGCAATTATCTTCCAGCCGCAGCTATTAACATTTTAAAAAAAAAAGCCCTCTTTAACTGCAATACAACAATATTTCCCATTGAAATTCTACAGGGAAATTCATGCTAATAACGCATCTGGAATCACCTCAAGATGATTCCTGTAATCAGATGCGACTTATGTTTGTGTTTTCATGCCTAACCCTTCTTTGGTTACTAAAACAGTTTAAAACATGTGTCAATATTAAAACAGCCTTATATATATCTATATATTATTACTTTGAGTATTGACAGAACTTCAGCCATTTTACTAGCCAAAGGATAAAGCTGCATTGGAAGAATTATCTTTTTAAAATATGTAAAGTATTTAAAATACTTTCATCATTGTTACTTATGTTCTCTAAACCACAGGGAAGAGGTAAAACAGGAGGAAGATAGATAACTATTACTCTTTTGCCCCAGTTGACATGTTTGAAATTAGCAAAGTGAAAAGAAACATACTGCAGTATGTTATAGCTGAGATCAGCAATGGCAGATCTTTGTTTCTGGGTGCCAAAACATTTGTGTTTGAACCAGTGTCCCTTCCCCTCTGTCTCCAATACCTAGATCTTCTCCTTCATCTCATACCCTTCCTCACTCAATTCATGACCACAGTGTTAGTTTGTCTTCAATAGTCTCAGGTTTTCAAAACCTGGAACAACTGTCCCAACCAATATCCTGGACTATTAGGCAGACAAAATGTTCAGTGACACCCTTCACACACTCTCTGCTGGCTGTTCAACTACAGGCAGCTGAGCAGAGAAGAGCCCCAACAACTAACACAGGGAAGAGTTGACTGCCTGCTGTAAAAGAAGCAAACTATAGAACAAGGAGGAGGGGATCACTGAGATAGACATAATAGAAACAGTGTACACATCAAACTGCAGGCAGAAAGATCTCTGTTAGGATGGGCAACGAGGCAGACAAAGCAAATGTGAAGTCCTGTAAGAGCAGTAGTGCTGAAGAAGGGGTAGCCATCAGAAGGAAAAATGAGAACAGAGAACCTTCTTCCAAGAAGAGTTTTTTTATTTCACTGGGAGCAAGGAACTCTGGCTACTGAAACGTTTTTGTGAATTTTAACATTTTCCTCTGCCTTTTACCTCCCACCCTTCTACAGAGATAGAAAGAACGGGAAGACTCTCAGGTCTTGTACACAAATGCCCAGAAGCAGGAGCCCTGTTACCAATTTGGAGAATTAATTCTACTTGTTTTTTTTCCACTTACCAGTGCCTCTCAGCTCCTAACTCTCTTACTAATTCCTTTTTCTATCTCCCTTTCCCAACCACAGCAACCTCTAGCAAAACTCCTTGCTTCTCTCATTCCCCATCAACTTTCAAACTCAAAAACCATAATAAGGCAGGAAACACTATTATCTAGCTTGCACTTCTTGTACCTACACTGCATTTCCCATAATCCTAAGCACCCAAACAGACTGTTAAACCACCAGAGCTGGTCCCAACTCCTCCAGAGATATGAAATGAGGCCCCAAAGAAGAAAGATGTGAGAGGTATGTAAATAAAGAAGACCGAGATTGTTGTTTTGGGCCCACATGCCTTAGTTTTGCCACTGCTGTTGTATGGAAAAAGTAGTAGTAAGCAAACCAGGCTGCTTGTGAAAGGGGAACCTGGTCAAAGGTTCTGCCTCTTCCCATTCGGTTTATGTCATGAACTTCAGGAAGTAATCAACCCCAGCTCCTTCCATTAACACCCTCCAAGCACTCTTCACTGTGTTCCAAGTGTAGCACTTACAGCGTTTGAGATCCTGTGCTTTCCTTGACTGATTTTTTGGTTAAAATTAAGGCTAGTGCAGGGGTAGGCAACCCCCAGAGCGTGGCGCACAAAGACATTTTTTGTGGCATTGCCATCTCAGGAAAGGAGCCAGGACTGCATTGCCACAACAAGGACCAGGCCCCTCCCAGCTCCCCTGCTGTCTGCCCCTGGCACACCAACATCTTACGAGTCAAGTTTGCAGGCGTTTTTGGCACTCTGCCCAAAAACATCCCCGACCCCCAAGGATAGGGTGCATTTTGGGGTTTTTTAATGCAACATCTAAGACAGTTTAGCACCTTTTCATTAAGGTTCATAGTTAGACCCAACAGGAAGCTGAATTCTATAATCAAAGTAGGTCTTTTCTGTCTCATGCTTATGATGTCTGCATTATCTGTACTAGGTGTAAGCTCAAGGCAGAACTCCCTAACTCTCAGCACTCAGAACTGGATTTCAAAGCTAAACTACTACTACTACAAAGGAAAACCTTTGAACTGACCATCTACAAATCCAGGTGAGGTTCCAGACCAGAATCTCATTTTGCTGTGTGAGCCAACCTTTCATTCACCCATGTGAATGTCAGTGAAAATGCAAATCTGAGTCCATTTCTTCTATCAGATTGTCTCAGAATGCTTTCCCTTCATCTTTGAGTCTTCTACAGAATTGAGAATTACCCTGACCCTTAACTAGTAATTGCACGAATCTCTGAAAAAAATATGAGTTAAAGGCAGCAATAGGGAATACAGGACACATTGGTAAATACAAAAAAGCAGATCAGGTTAATATATTTAGTTTTATCATATTTCTGCTACTAAAAACTTGAAGTTCTCTTCTCCCCTTTAAAAGAAATTTCCTATCTTCTACCAATATAAAGGCCCTGCATTGTAGTGAACTTCCTTCTAATAGGAACAGATGAATGGCTCAGACCCTACCTGCCAAAAAGGTCAATGAAAAAATCTTACTCCAAGCATCCCTTAAGACCTGGCAAGCTGCCTCCACTCCACATGCTATCTTGCCAGACCAATGAATATGGTTGTGTCATCATCCTAACAATATTCTTAATGAGATTGTAGTTTTCTGCAAGCTCTAATTTTAAGATAAGTGAACAAGCTAATGCAAATTTAGAGACTCAAGTAGCCTTCTGCTTTTGAATAATTATGTCAATTGTCTGCTTAAAGAAGAATATTTTAAAGAGCCAGAGATAAGCAAGGCAGTTTGCTCTTCTTTGAGGTACTATTTCCACACAAAATTCTTCTAGTAATGTCTGTGACTGAACAAAGGGATTTTTTGAAATAACAGTGAATACTAAGCACTCAGATTAGTAAATACTAAAAACAGACATTATCTGTTTTGCCACTCAGTGGTAAAAAGGAGATCTTAAAATATTCAGCACTCATATCACAGCTCTGTTTCAGAAATGAAGTGGCACAGAATTACATTGATTTCCAGGAACCTCTAGATGAGTTATCTAGCTCAGGGGTGGCTCACCTACAACACGTGCCACAAATGGCACGGACACTGTGTGTGTGTGGCACATGGCCAATCAGGGAGGGGGAAGGCAGCACAGCAGCAGATAAGGCATAAAGCAAAGCAGCAAACTGGGTAAAGAGCACAGGGTAGAAAGCAGAGCAGCATATCAGGCAGGGGAAGGGAACGAGAGTGGTACTCAGGAAGGGTGTGGAGCAAATTTGTAGCATGCCTGCCACAATGTTTAGCTCCCACTGATGTAGCTCATCTGCCTTCTTTGTAACAGGTACATTTTCCCTGAGACAGAAGCATCATGATCCTACCTGATACACCAAGACCAAACTGAAACAATATATATTAGGGTGACAGTCTTCCTTTTAAACAAAAGTACTGCATAATACAGAAACACTGACACCCGTATCCATGCCAAAACTCTCCTCAGCCAACAACATGCCAACAATTATAAGAAAACAGTATTTGCATTTAAGTTATATTGAATAGTGTGAATTCAAGACACCATAAAAATTCCACCAAGATCATCACTCAACAGCATTAATATGCACAAAAATATAAAATGTGGTATTTAAAATTTTTAAATGAAAAGAAACACAATCACTGCCTAATTGCAATAACTTCCATTTGATCTTGATATACTCCAAATTAACAGCTTCACTGTGTCAATCAAACACCTCAACATTATTTTCATGATTAGTTGATCTGTGGGAGAAATTTATTGCTTCATATACTTTGACAGGCCAGAAATAAACATGCAGGTAAATTTATGTACTGTGATCCCTAAACAACAAAATTCAATTCCCTTAAGATCTTCTGTGCACCATGCCCAAAACAATTAGCAACAGTACAATATTCTGTTCAGACATAGTCTGTGGAAGGAAAGGTCATCTGAAATGACTTCAGCAGAATGAATGGAGTTGCTCAAGTATGTAATTTGTAATAAAAATTCGATTGGTGATAAAATATGTAGGTGACTTCTTTGCTTCAAATTCACACCTAACATCAGCTCCTAACAAATGACACTTGAGATATGGTTTCCACTTTTTAAAATATAATATAAATATAGTGTAAATTTAAAGATAAACTTTCACACTGCAGTAAACTTTTGACAGTGTTTAGATATATCAAAAGTAGTGATAAAAGTTCAGAAGATAAAGGAACAGAAGGAGATACTGTTTTCATCCTATGCTACCATTAATAACCCTGATCTGATCCTAGAACGGTCATAAAACTTACTCCAATTTTATACCATGGTAAAAAATGGACCTTGGCACTAACAATCTGATAACTTTATTTTGTCATGTTAATAATAGCATCCCTTTGTTATCCTTTCTTGCTTCTAATCCTACAGAGAAATTTCCTACTTGGAATGCCTTCTCTATGCAAGACCTCATTGGGGATCAGCTGCTGAATAACCAGCATGGGATAGAGAAATCAAAAAACTACTTCCACCTAATGGGGGAAGCAATTTTCAATCAAGCTGGGACCAGTTTCCAAAGTGGGTTACCGTAGTTACAAAGCAGCTAGCTTTCTCTACAGACAAGGTTCATTCTCTGTGCAAGCTTAGACACGATGTTTTCTCAGCAGTATCTAGGTCACTGAAATTTGTCTGTAGTTACTTTCTGATTTTGCACACACACGCACTGTATGTGTGTGCATGTGTGTGTATATAGCATGTGTACACACA